ACATGCAGAGCATGTTAATTCATCTGATCGGGGAATTTTGACATTTCTTATTGAATGTCCAACTGAATGTGCTATTATTCTTTGCATCATCCCAGTTGCTGGATGTCCCAAACGATCATGCCATAAAATAATCAAATGTTTGTCATCTAACTTCTGGTTAGATATCATATTGATTTCCACGGGTCGTATGTTTATACGGTATAACCCCGAAGAGTATGCTGGCAATTTCTCATATATATGTTTCTTGCCATGTTTTTCTGCCGTGAGGCATATATACTCTTTTTGATCTGTCTTCATTGTTTCTAGATGATAGCCATTTTGGCGTACATCTTTAAAGCTTATGAGATTTCTTCGAGATTTACTCGAATATAAAGCATTATTGATTATTAATTTTGTTCCATTTGGAAGCATTATACAAGCCTTTCCAGATCCTTCAATTAATTTAGCTGACCCGGAAATGGTGTTTACATTTGCTTGAAACAACTTTAGTTGTGAAAAATATTTTCTATCTTTTAAGATAGTATGTGTTGTTCCACTGTCCAAAAGGCATTGATATTCGGAACTAACTTCAGGTAGATCCATATCTTCATAAAATAAATTTAAGATTAGTTTAGAATAATATCATACAAACGTTTATTGATGATAAAGATTTAAAGTACATGACTAGAAATTTAAAATACAGGGAACTAAGAAAATACATTAAAACATAGCATATGTTACATTAGTAGATGGGGAACCTAAGCATTGTTGTTTTCTCCAAGAATGAAATCATTCCCAGTTTCAGCATTGTCCATGAAGAAATCGGACACATCAAGGGTAGGACATGGAGCATTTTCTTCATTAACATAATTTGCTTCTGCATTTTTCTCTTTGCCTTTTACAGAAGCCTGGTAAAGGTCTACCAAATGTTTGGCCGTACGACAGGTACGTCCCCAATGTCCTGTCATGCCACATCTGTAACATGTGTCTTTTCCTTTTGAAAGAGTTTGTTTGTGGCTTCCAGATGACTGTCCCTTCTGTTTTTCAAAATTTTTGAAATTACTGTTTCTTTGAAAATTGTTTCTACCACGTCCTCGGCCTCGTCCGCGATAATTTCCACGGCCTTTTCCACGGCCATTGTAATTTCCACGTCCACCTCTTCTTGTAGCATTTGACTCGGGTGGATAGGAATTTGTTGCATTTGCCTCATGATGAGTGGCCAAAGACCCAGTTGGTCTCAGGTTATGATTTTTCAACAAAAGTTCACTATTTTGTTCCGCAACAAGCAATACACTCATTAATTCATTGAACTTTTTAAAACCTCTTTCACGATACTGTTCTTGCAACAGTATGTTACTTGCATGAAAGGTAGTGAGTGTTTTTTCAATCATCTGTTCATCCGAAACTGGATGATCACAATATCTCAATATAGACACTATCTCATGTATGGTTGAATTATAATCAATTACAGATTTGAAATCCTGGAACCGTAAATTTGTCCAGTCAAATAATGCCTTAGGAAGGAGCACCCTTTTGTGGTGTCCAAATCTTTCATTAAGGCAATCCCATAATTCTTTGGGATCTTCAACCATCATGTACTCAGTTTTAAGGCCTTCATGTAAATGATGCCTTAACAACACTAAGGCTTTTGCCTTATCTTGTTCAGTAACAGGTTTTGCAACAGTCATTGCAGAAGTGGTAGTATCAGTTGTTTGACCAGAGGGACTTTTATTTTCTTTAACAGTGTGCTCCAAGCCTTGAGCTTTCAAATTCATCATTGCGTCCACTTTCCATTCCAGAAATTTCTTTCCAGATAAATCTAAGATGCTGAACTGTCTTTTCATAAGGTCTCCCATTTTAGCTACAACAAATTTCGTGATAATTAGTTTATAATAACAAATTATATGTACAACTCACATGTTTAGTTCTTCCATATTTATAATTAAGTTAATAAGACACGTGATAATTAAATTTAATAATAATAAACCATAAATAATATAGTCTTTTCTCCCCCTTGGTTTATTATTGTGAGTAATTATATGATTAGGCAAAAATTAATCATGTTAGTTGCAAAAAAAAACAGCAAAACGACAACAATGACAGTAGTAACAATAATTATAATGATAACGGTAATATTATACAATGATAATTAATAACAACAAACATACATAATAAAACAAAAACAAGCTTTTAATATACTAAAACGACAAAATAAGTGAGTTTTACTTATACATAATGACAAAAATTAATATTGCTACTAATAAAATTACAAGCGCCGTAATTAGAAGGAAATATTGTTTTATCTTCATTAAATCTTCCTCAAAAGTGAAGTTGTGGGTGTTTTGGGTGTTTTGGTTGCCGTCGTCGGGGAACATATCGGAGAAGAAGGGGGTGAATTTTTTTTTTTTTTTTTTTAGGTGATTTTTGGATAAAAAAGTGGGAAAGGATAAGGAATTTGTGGTGAAATTGGGGGAAAAATCCGTCTTTTATAGAGGTAGGTTTATCCGTTACTGTTCTGTACAACTGTAAAAATATCATATAATAGTCTAACGTACTGGCATAAAATTATGGTCCATATATATATATTTATAATTGTAAAAGGTTATCACACTGGGAATGCAAGCCATAGTGGTCCGAGAGCCCTAATATCTATAAAAGATCATGGGTTCGAAAACGGAAAGAAACACAAAAAGTATGTAAAAGTAAGAAAAATAATAAGTATAAAAGGCTGCATCTTTTTGTTAATCTAGTTAATAATAATATGCATGCAAAGCTACTACTTAGCAATTATAATAACTAAGATAAAAATTTACGTAAAATGAGTATGTAATATCAACATGGATCAAACAAAGAAACATCAACATGAATAAACAAAAGATGATAGTAGTAAATTCACAAGTAAGAGAACTTTCACCGTTGTTTTTGAGGTATATATAGTAAATGTTTGAGTTTCTGTTATAGAGGATCCCAAATATGGGCAACTATAGAGCATACTCCTCGAAACATTTAGAAGTAGATAGTATTATTTGTTATAAATTTTTAGAAGTAGGTATAAATATACCTGACTGAAAATTGGTGCTGATAACGTGTTAAAGAATTTACCGATAGAAAAGTTTTGATTAATAAAAGGAGTAAAAGAGTGAAAGAAGATGGGTGAAATTGTTGTAGTGTTATCATTGTATTCTTACTTCTATGGCATTGTATTTATAGCCATGAGTTACACTAATAATACAATAATTACTCACATAGAGCCATATGAGTTCACAAGTGTTTGGACCTATATGAGCATTGTGTAATCAAATCAATAATTGGCATTCACTTATTAGCCTTATCTTCTAACAGGTTCTTATATAATCTTAACTCTTTTTACACCCTTTATTTTAAGTGCCCAACTTGAATTATATGCCAATACAGAATTTTAACTAATGATAACTTTATTTATCAATAATTACATATTATATAAAAATAAAATAAAAAAATCGATGTTTGAAATATACCTTGAGACGATTGTAATAGGTAACCGTATGACTGTGTGAGCATGTTTAGTTTTATGTGTGAAGCACCAACGTTACTCAAAGTGGTGTATGTGAATAAATTGAGGGAGTAATGGTTAGTATTTAGAATATTACGTTAAGTTGAAATTTAAATTAAATATATGAATTTAAAAGTAAAAATTCTTTTAATGTCTTTAAAATTAACACTTACCATTTTTTCTAGTACATAATAAATGTACCTACATAAAAGGTTTTTAATCAATGATCGAAATATAACTATCTTTATGTAAAAATATATACAAGCTAATAATAAATTATAGAGTTAAATCAAACGTAAATGTATACAAGAAAAGAAAGAATGATTAGTACTTGAATATAAATTATATGTAAATTAAAATTTATTTGCTATTAAAAGTTAAATTAAGAAAATGAATAATAGCTAAAATGATGTGGACTACTAAAATTAAGTGGTACATGGAATGGAACACAATAGTGGGATAGAAGATTCGGACCCAAATAGTAAATCATTTTTATTTTTTCAAAATGTCCTATTATTCACAAAATCTATTAACCTATACTAAAAGCAAATCTTTCAAAATTTTCCCGCCTTATTCGTTTTTTTTTTTTGGCACAATCTTTAAGTAAATTATTTATACCTTATGATATTTTCTTTCCAGTTTGACAATCATATTCCATATATCTTTTACATACTTTATATTTTATAATATTATTGTAAAAAAATATTTAACTGCTGTGTATTGCACGGGATTTTAACCTAGTATATAAATAAAATAGAAAAGAAGTATTATTATAAACAATTTAGAAAATGGTTTATGAATATGTTATCGACACATTCATTTGTCTCATAATGTTACAATTTCATTACTGATACCCTGTATAATTGTTGTCACTTAAACATTTGATTTTAAAAAGTGAAGGCGACAGTTAATTAATTAGGAGTATTAGAAGTATGCCTAAAAGACACATAGAAATAGTGTATGCCATTTCAAGATATATAATTTGAAGATCACTATTTATGACTAATACTTGTATGAGTTCTTAGTGATATAAGTAAATATTTTTAGGAGATAGCCTATCAAGTTAGATAACATGCTTGCTCCAAAATCGCACATGAAAAAATAGTTTAAAAAAAAAAAAAAAGTCACATTTGTTATCTTATCACTAGTCAACATCATGTGTTGGAGAAAGCAGAACTGTTTTGCTTGTCTAAACATTCAATAGTTTTCCAGATGGAGTAACTAAATATGCAGGTCACAACTTTTATAAGCTAAATACTTTACATATAAACAGAAATAGAATTAAAACTAAATACTTTTTATATTATGATATAATTATACCAAAAATAAAATAAAATAAAATAAAACAAAGATGACAACCACCTTGATCTTTAATTCTACACCTTAATCATTGAGATTATCCCCTAAATCATAGCCATATTTCCGGTTTAATGATGGATATAAGATATGCACAAAATCAAACAAAAAAAGTCTAGATAAAAACCAATAATTTCCTACTAAAAATGATGACTTCTGAGTAATCATTAATAAGCATATTATAATCAAACAACATTCAAATAATTTACATACACTAATTAATTAATTAATAAAATCTTAAGTTAGACTAATTACTTGCATACCCAAACTGATGATGTTGTCCTTCCAATGGTATTGCTCATATCCCATTGCCTCTCTAGCTAGCTAGCTAGTACTCTCAACTTTCCTACACATCAAATTAGAAAATTTCATATTTAAAAAAAAAAAAAAAAAAATACTAGTCATCTTCATCTTTGTTATTTAGATGAAATACTACAAGAGGGGGGGTGAATTGTAGTATGGAGATTGCTAGTCACTTTTTGCGGAATTAAAAGAAACTTAACGCAATAGAGAAATAGTGCAAGAGAGATTTTACGAGGAAAACTTCCTAGGCCAAATAGGAAGTGAAAAACCTCGACCCAAAGGGATTTTGACTCAAAACATTCCACTAAAATAGGCCAACGACTCTGTTACAACCTATGAGGAACTTGAGCCTCTACCGAGTTCCTCAACGAACTCATATCCCCAACAACTATTCCCTCTAATAGTTGCAGCTTGAAATCTTCCCTCAAAGACCTCTCTTCTCACTCAAGACTTCACTCAAAACCTTACTCTTTCTCTTTCTCTCAAGCTTCACTCAAAGCCTTCTCTACATACAAAGAACTCACTCAAGTTCTCACCCTAATACAAGAGTTCACTCAAACCCTTATTAATTCCCCATTACAAGAGTTCACTCAAACCCTTAAACAACTCTCAAATACATATAAAAGATATAATGTATAAAACTAATATGTTGAACACTCAAAACCTGTCTGGAACTCACTAGACGTATTGTAACCAAAAACCTGATAGGAACTTTGACCAGGAGGACTGACTTAGCTTCGTGGTGAAGGATAAAACCATTAAGCACGACCACTACACTTCGTCAGCCTCCTCTTTGAATGAATGCGTATGAGCATATTTATAGTACACTCGAATTATTCATTTCATCTTGAAAAAGATAGATTTTCTGAAAAGATAAGTTTAAAAGATATTTTCTAAAAATCAGTTTTCTGAAAATATATCTTTTTGTTAAGAATAAAAACTGTCAATAATAATAAGATAAACTTAGCATAAAATCAGATTTTATTCAAAACTTATCTTTTTGTTTAAAATACTTTTTAAACAATCTTATCTTTTTCCAAAAGGGATTTATTAGAAGATAAATATCTTTATTCAGTAAAACCAAATCCCTAAAAGATATGCACGTATAAAGTAAATATATATATCATTAAAACCGACTTTTAACGACGTTCATACTTAAGTTCCTATTAGGTTCCTGAACTCTGACAGTCTCTGAGTTCCTGACAAGTCAGTTACTCTAATTTCATTGACTGTTTGGAATTCACCTTGGTTCTATATAGACTTGTTCCAGACCGACTTTTATGTCCAACATACTTACATGAATCCTAGAGCAATATACTTCTATTTCTTTGTCTTCATGTTGCTTCTCTGAAACTCTTGTTCTGGAATCCTGTAGTCTTGATATATTCTGGATCTTAGGGTTTTCCCCAGCATTACACCGAAACCAGGTCGTTACAACCCGTTTTGAAGTTCCTGTTAAGAAACTTCTGGAAGTTCCATTTCTGGAACTCTTCTTCTAAATTTACTTGTATCCTCATGGATCCTCTAAAGTTCCTCTGTTTCAATTCCTACTTCAGCCCTCAACGCTTACTGAACCTGCAAACATCACAACACTAGAAAATCCTTATTAAATGGAAGTTTGCTCAATTCTTAACATCATCATCAAAACCTCATAAGGATCAACAAGTTGTCCCTTTTTGATGATGACGAACTGAGCAAACTTCTGAGAATAACAAAGTAAAACAGAAGGTTAGTTTTTTATTTATAAAAACAATAAAGAAAACTAAACTAAATTAAAAGACTCCTACACATACATAACCTATATATGTATAGGATACTTACCTTATGAAGCTAACATATGTAAACACATGTTTACATAGTTACCTTCATGGTCCCTTAGCCATCATCATGCTTATCAACCATAACACTTATCGTTGTTCTTGTTTGCTTATCCTATATTGCTCAAGTTCCTTACATATATACCTGTCATTACTCAGGTTCCTTGTATCCTGTTCCAAGCATAATTTGCTTTTTCTATGCACAACTTAACATACACGTTAGATAGATAATCATCATTAGTTTATAATCATCAAAACCTAATTGCTCAACAATTTCCCCCTTTTTGATGATGACAAACTATTGATGCTCATCACATATTAAAGGATAATCGTTGTACATTTATTCCCCCTTAGTTTTTCAAGGAAATAACATTTAAACAAGTTAAGAACATACACAAGAACTTAATAGTTAGGAACTTAGCAATACACATCATTTATCAATATATAAATACTTTCAACAATCATGATGTAATAACTTTAGACTTAATTACTGCATACCATAAGCATCATACATATTCTTCCCCCTTTTGTCATTATCAAAAAGGGTATTGTTCCACACGTTTGTTTTTCGTAAATTATATGCACTTAAAGTCATATGTCACACCTACCACCATATAATAAGTAAGTATATACTAGTTAAACACTTGTTGTTCCTAAAAGCCTCAAGGTACTCACTTTTCAAACACGGATACCATTTCCACACTAACTTCCAACTCACAATCCAAAGGCCCAACTTCAAAACCCTTAATTGAACTTGACAAATAAGAAGTTAAAATTCAAGTAAAGATCAGAGCTAAAAAGTTAGAAATGGATTGCATGAATAGACCAATTAAAGCGCAAGCTTAAAGGATATATAAAGAAGCATATGGAACAAAATAAGTAGAGGGAACGTGAAGTGGAATTTGTGCTCTTCGTTTAAACCTTTTGAGATGAGAACCGCCACATTGTACTTTATCTCAAACTCTTGAATCTCCTATTGAACACAACACATATTCATCTTGCCAATTGATAACCAAGTTCCCTTACCTTAACCACCAACTTCTTTGAGGAACATTCTCCATACTGGAACTTAAATAGATTTCAGTTTCATCATAATCAAGTTCCTTCGTCGTTTATTATTGTTCCTTCACTAGCTCACCAAGTATACGAGTACACGACATCAACATAGTCAACATTCTTCATATATAGATACCCAGGAAATTAAATATTTGACCACCCTTTTTCCTTTTCTTTCTCTTTTTTTTTTCCAAAGGGTGTCATTACACAAATTTTGCATGATTTCCTAGTATAACACATTTTAAATTAATGAAGAGAATATTTACTCATACACTTGAGTTCCACAACCAGATCTGAACCATTTTGAATTCTTGGTTCCTACCTTATTCCCCCTGAGTCCCTTACCATTCTTCTTCCTTTTCAAGTACTTACTTCTTTCTTTTTCTTCAACTTCCCCCTCAACATGTAATCACCCTTTTTCACGTTTCATTGAACCATAAAAAGATGGTGAACAAACTTAGAGCACATGGGAATTAAGAATAAAAAGTAAAAGTGTGTGAACGGAAAGAGGAAATTGAATTGGGTTAATAAGAATCTTCGATTTTCTAAATATGGGACAATTAAAGTATATGCAACACGGACACACAACTTAGAGTTGTAGAATAATGTTGCGATCGAAGATATATGGCGTAGATGCTTGAAAGTTGGCTAAAAGATAGGTTAGTTCCCTCTGAAATTTAAACAAGTGAGTTACAAACGGTCTGGGAACTTACCTGTCTTGTTCCATCAAAGTTTCTTCCATTGTTCCTTTGACAACTTAGGAACTTCGTGTTTGACAGCACCCATAGTTCTATTATGAGACCTCTAATACTCTTAGGCAAGTGAGTATGTCTTTTACAACACAAGAACTAAGTGTGACACATAAAAAATAAGCGCATATTCTTTACTTTAAGTATAACATAGGAACCCCAGCTTGACATAACTTATGGGAAAAAATACTTTATACTCGTGTTATGTTTCATCAAGTCTTGTTCCATTAAGCAATAAACAAGAATATGACAAATCAAGACAAGACCATAAGAGAATCAATTCACAAATTCACATATTGCATTCATACCAAAAAAATATCAATTCAATTCATCTAATGTCGACATGTGAAAAGGAACTTATATCTTATGTAGTCTCTTACCAGTAAAAATATAACTTTAAAGCATTGGTTGAGTATGATGGCTTACCTTGGAGTTCTTGAAGTGGTTGTTATGTTCCTTGATGATCTCGAATCTAATATGAACTTCCACTTCTAACTCAAGTTCCATTGTCAGTGGTTAATCTTACAAATATATTTTCTTATCATAAATTAGCAAAAACCAATTCACAATGGCTCGTTAGTAGTACCAGAGATATATCAATGTAAACAAGTACTAATAATAACTCAGTTAATCTTGAAAACAAAAATTGATACTTTTAAAACTCAATTTTCAAGAAGGAACTTGGATAGGATTCTATCCTAGAGTATGTTCCACATAGACGTCTACAAAAATTCATATCAAGACATACATGACATCCATGTGGTACAACTCTAATCCCATATAAACAGCAAGAACAAATATTATTCAATTTGCTTCAAGTCTAGCTACACACGCAACAAGTTCCTTAAAGACAATACATACCTTTGTATTGGTTGTTTCTTTTAAGAACCAACCTGGCCTTGTTCCATTCACGTGCCTTACTCAACAAGCTTTTGCCAGAACACCTTTTTTAATCTCCGACCCTTTTTAGGTGTTCTAGAATAGGTTCAGGATGTGACATGCATCTTCTTCTTTTTAAGCTTATTAAGTTCCTGCTGCACATCTAACCTGATAACAACCAATTACATGTTTACATCAACCTTAAAAACAGACTTATCTTTTATACAACTATGAGTTATAAAGTCCATCCTTTTCGATTGATATCTCGGGCTCTTCTCAGATCCTTGGTTGTTGAGGTTTTCCCTTTGGTTATATATATGCATGAAAAACACTTTAGTTCCATAGTTTGTTGAGATATTGCTGGTCGGAACAAATATTATCTTAGCTCTGGAACTTTGTTGGAACTTGCTTTCTTGTATTGAGTTCATTGACCTTTGTTGCATGAGTTTGAACTTAACATCTCAAAGTTCCTCAACATATGTAGCTAGCCCTTGCTGTTATCCTTAGTGACATATTTCTTTATTAGGAACTCCGTTAGTTCTTCAAGAACACATGAGTTCATCTTTTATAACCTGTTTGATGGGAACAAACCTGTCAGTCTCAAAATATGTTCATTTATTGCACATTAACCATGATAGTGTAGACTCTTTATGTTTTACTAGTCTAGGCGTTTATGGATAAATCGCCTTGGAACTTATATCATCAAACATCCCTAAGTGGAACATAGGGTGTCTTGTTCATCAAAGATCTATTGCTTCAGTGTTGATGATGTAGCAAGAGACATTGAAAACTATTCCAAAGAACCTGCAAAGACCATTAGCATATAACTTTGTTTTCTCCGTGTCTTTCATGATTCAAAGTTGGAAACTTGTTGTCAATCCTGTGTTCCTGCAACAAACATCAACAATTACTGGAACTAGGTTCCATTTTTAGATCTATACCTTCATAAATGATGAACGCTTAGCCACATACCCTGTGATAGAAAAGACTTTCAACAAACAGTTCATCATCTCTTCTGTTAAGAAAATTAACCAAGTATTCATTTGCTTTCATTACTTATAAACAAGACATATCTTTCAATTAGTCTCTACATATCACATGGTAAACATATCCATATCACTAAGATCCAATGGATTAGTGTTGCTTACCATCTACCTGATGTTGAAAGAGAATGTAACATGTGTTTCATTCTCATGCTTCTCGATCTTAACCTGTTTGGAACTTACATGTACATATACCTATTTTCGAGTTCCTACTAGGTTTATCAAGCATGAAAAGATTAACATGTTCACAGTTTGAAGCATAGAGGTATCTCATCTTCAATAAAACCTAGAAATGTCAGGTTGTTGTTAGGAATCACCTTGAGATCCACAAATGATGTGTTCCCTTTTTGACTCCCTTTTAGATGTCGTTCCATCAACAAAATGATGAATCTCCAACACGCAGTCAAAGATAATCATCTTAACTCATTATCCTTCATAAGAGTCTGCTACAGGAATTAATGCTTTGTTCCAAATAAGAACTTAACTGGAACTTGAACAAGAATCTTTACAGGAACGTATACGCTAACTCCTATAGCACCTTGATATAGAAGCTTTGTTATTCCTGTATCCCTAATTCGTTTTATCATTCCAAGTTCACCAAGTTCCAACCAATTTAAGCACTGAGCTTCTAATGGAACAAACTTTTACGCACCAATTTGTCTCAATGGACAAACCTACAAAACAATGATTAATAACTTGCACAAAGCTAGAAGAGAAGTTAGTTTGTCATGATATACATTATAAACATCCAAACAACTTCTCTTTTCATCCATTCACAAATAACCTTCATAAGATTAGGGAATTGAATTTCAATTGGAATTTGTGAAGGATTAATACATACCAAAAGAACATGACCAATATTTACAGAGAGATGTATAGGCAACTTACACACTTATTCATGTTGTCGATTCACCTACTACAAACCTCTTATAAAGGCTTTCTAGTGAGAGGCGGTTAAACCAACTATCTTTACTAACAATAAACATCATGTGTCTACATAATAAATATTCAGAAAAACACATACACATGATAAGGTCATTCTTTGGAAAATATTCAAAATATACGTTCATTACCTTGCCCAAAGAATTAAGTTTCCATACAGGGATAATCCAGGTTCCAAGAGACCAAATATGCATAATTCTACATAATACGTTCCTTGAACTATTTCCAGTAAACCGATTCTTTAAAAATAAATCAATTTGTAAATCTGACAAATACTTTTCACTCTATAAATCAAATTTGAGGTTACACAAAATTGATTTGCAAACTTTCAAAACAAAATCCAAAATTTAACTAGAAATACTACAAGGAACTTGTACACATAATGTCATGCATATAATCAAGACTTCAAAGACGAGACACTTACCTCAAAGATGTTCATCTTTGAATCACATCTGCTTCACAAGCAGACTTTGGTCTTCACGTGGTATTCGGAACGTTCTAGGGTTGAGTTCCATTCACTGCATTCCTTGTAGATATCCATCCTAGCCTGGAACTTGCTCCTCGGGGTTACCCGGTTTATCAAGAGCACCTGCTCTGATACCAATTGTTATTTAGATGAAATACTACAAGAGGGGGGGTGAATTGTAGTATGGAGATTGCTAGTCACTTTTTGCGGAATTAAAAGAAACTTAACGCAATAGAGAAATAGTGCAAGAGAGATTTTACGAGGAAAACTTCCTAGGCCAAATAGGAAGTGAAAAACCTCGACCCAAAGGGATTTTGACTCAAAACATTCCACTAAAATAGGCCAACGACTCTGTTACAACCTATGAGGAACTTGAGCCTCTACCGAGTTCCTCAACGAACTCATATCCCCAACAACTATTCCCTCTAATAGTTGCAGCTTGAAATCTTCCCTCAAAGACCTCTCTTCTCACTCAAGACTTCACTCAAAACCTTACTCTTTCTCTTTCTCTCAAGCTTCACTCAAAGCCTTCTCTACATACAAAGAACTCACTCAAGTTCTCACCCTAATACAAGAGTTCACTCAAACCCTTATTAATTCCCCATTACAAGAGTTCACTCAAACCCTTAAACAACTCTCAAATACATATAAAAGATATAATGTATAAAACTAATATGTTGAACACTCAAAACCTGTCTGGAACTCACTAGACGTATTGTAACCAAAAACCTGATAGGAACTTTGACCAGGAGGACTGACTTAGCTTCGTGGTGAAGGATAAAACCATTAAGCACGACCACTACACTTCGTCAGCCTCCTCTTTGAATGAATGCGTATGAGCATATTTATAGTACACTCGAATTATTCATTTCATCTTGAAAAAGATAGATTTTCTGAAAAGATAAGTTTAAAAGATATTTTCTAAAAATCAGTTTTCTGAAAATATATCTTTTTGTTAAGAATAAAAACTGTCAATAATAATAAGATAAACTTAGCATAAAATCAGATTTTATTCAAAACTTATCTTTTTGTTTAAAATACTTTTTAAACAATCTTATCTTTTTCCAAAAGGGATTTATTAGAAGATAAATATCTTTATTCAGTAAAACCAAATCCCTAAAAGATATGCACGTATAAAGTAAATATATATATCATTAAAACCGACTTTTAACGACGTTCATACTTAAGTTCCTATTAGGTTCCTGAACTCTGACAGTCTCTGAGTTCCTGACAAGTCAGTTACTCTAATTTCATTGACTGTTTGGAATTCACCTTGGTTCTATATAGACTTGTTCCAGACCGACTTTTATGTCCAACATACTTACATGAATCCTAGAGCAATATACTTCTATTTCTCTGTCTTCATGTTGCTTCTCTGAAACTCTTGTTCTGGAATCCTGTAGTCTTGATATATTCTGGATCTTAGGGTTTTCCCCAGCATTACACCGAAACCAGGTCGTTACAACCCGTTTTGAAGTTCCTGTTAAGAAACTTCTGGAAGTTCCATTTCTGGAACTCTTCTTCTAAATTTACTTGTATCCTCATGGATCCTCTAAAGTTCCTCTGTTTCAATTCCTACTTCAGCCCTCAACGCTTACTGAACCTGCAAACATCACAACACTAGAAAATCCTTATTAAATGGAAGTTTGCTCAATTCTTAACATCATCATCAAAACCTCATAAGGATCAACAAGTTGTCCCTTTTTGATGATGACGAACTGAGCAAACTTCTGAGAATAACAAAGTAAAACAGAAGGTTAGTTTTTTATTTATAAAAACAATAAAGAAAACTAAACTAAATTAAAAGACTCCTACACATACATAACCTATATATGTATAGGATACTTACCTTATGAAGCTAACATATGTAAACACATGTTTACATAGTTACCTTCATGGTCCCTTAGCCATCATCATGCTTATCAACCATAACACTTATCGTTGTTCTTGTTTGCTTATCCTATATTGCTCAAGTTCCTTACATATATACCTGTCATTACTCAGGTTCCTTGTATCCTGTTCCAAGCATAATTTGCTTTTTCTATGCACAACTTAACATACACGTTAGATAGATAATCATCATTAGTTTATAATCATCAAAACCTAATTGCTCAACAATCTTCATCTCAAACTCTGCCTAGCTAATTAATCACTCAAAATTTAGAAAAAGATTAAGCACCTCCACCCTTGTTGAGCTTCAACCCATAATTAGTACTATCCCAACCAAGGGTGCCCTCGCCGTCGCCGAGAAAAAACCTCAGGCAGCTATCATTCATCACACCACCACCAGCACCAACAGTACTACTACTAGCATTAACATTCATATTAACATTAACATTAGCATTAGCATTAGAGTTGTGAGACGAAGGCGACGAAGATGATCCCTCATTAAGTTGAAGCCTAGGTTCATTAATCTCATTATTACTAAAACCTCCTAATCCCATGTGATTCATGTATAATATTCCACCTCCATTATGATTACAATTACTATTACTGTTATTATTAGTACTAGTTTTGTTTTTATGATTACTAACCTCTCCATAATTCTCCTTCCTTTTCTTGTTACCATCATCCCTAATAATAATGTTGTTGTCCTTCTCTTGAAAATACTTGTTAAGACTATCCCATTTTTCTTTGCATACACTTGCACTCCTATCATACCCCAAATAAGCCATCTTTGCAGCAATATCTTCCCACAAAACTTCCTCTGAGAACCCACATTGTTGAAACCTTGATTCCATGCTCGTTCGAAGTTGTATAAGCCTCGTGACCTCGGTCTCTAGCCATTGATGATGAGTGTTATCATGGATCCCCACGCGGCAATGATGTTCATTGCTACGATGGTGGTGGTGGTGGTGGTTACGATGATCAATATCACTAGCAACCTCTTTCTCCCTAGTGTTTGTTAGCTTCTCCAAGGCAGTCATAAGAGCTGAGTCCCGGGCCTCGATCCAAGCCCGTTCACTAGCCCAAAACTTGTGTTCCCTCTCCATTCTTCCGGCTTCTTGCTTCCTCCACTCTTCCTCCCTTTCCATCCTCTCTCTTTCTCTACTATCCAAGGTATACATCATCTTCTCGAGCCAAGCTTCTTGCTTCTCCATAATCTTCCTCATTTGATAGTCTATAAACTCCTTCACCTTCGCCTTCCAACTCCGCTTCCCTCTCTTCTTCTTCTTAGATTCATCACTTTCTATTGAACCCCCTCCCTCATTATCCGAGGATGAGGTCTCATAGTCCGAGGAGTTCGAGAGGCTTACACTCGTAGGCCGGTGTAGTTGATGGTTATCCGTTACCCCTAGTTTCGATGGGACTACATTCTCCGGAGTGGGGTGGAAGTGAGGGACCATGTTTCCGGCTATATGATGCGTGTCCGAGGTTGAAGTCATTGGATGATGATGTTGAGAATTGTGCTCACCATAGAGCGCCTCGAGTTGCCGGAAAAATCTATAGTGTTTACCGTCTTGTCTACCGGCTTTTCCTTCCTTAGTCTTCTTGTAATACTTGTACAAATTTTCGAATTTTTCCCTGCATTTCTTCCCCGTTCTTTGATATCCATGCTCCTCGGACATAATCCTAGAACAATCATTCAAAAATATAAATGATTAATCATCTATTGTTGTAACATCATTAGCAAAATAAAGCATGTTAGTGTATGAATCACCTAAAAGCAACAAAAAATTTCCCATGGGTCAAATCAAATAAATTGCTATATACCTCTATCGAGAATTAATTGTAACATTGACAGTGTAAGATGAACTGTATAATAATGTGACAATTAAGTCCGGATGGAGGTTGTAATATAGTCAGTGGTTAATTAAAAAAGGGGACAGATTGAAGTATCGAACTAAAAATTTAAAAATATTTTTGATGGGAATGTTTTATTAGGTGAAATGAGTGGTATAAGTGACAGACCAAATACATACAACTAAATAATATAATGATTTTTTTTTTTGTAAGTACAATAAAGAATAATTTGGGGAATGTGAGAAACCCTAGCTTTGATTTTTGAGATATAAATTGACAAAAATGAAAGGGAGATGAAATCAACTTAACAGCCTAGTTTATTGACTGAATTCTACTCATTACTATTATTAAATTAGTTTTTGAGGACCACTATTTTATTCAAAAAATTCTGTATGATAAATTTTACTTGTCATTTTACTTGTCAGTTCTACTAAAAACAGCAAGTAAACACTGAAAATGAATTTCAAAAAATTTAGCAAAAATTTGGCAAATATTTAAGCTTCAAAATAAGCTTATTATTCGCTAGAGTATATAAAGCCAGCTGCTTTGCAAATACAAGTAAAATCAAATAGTACTATTGTAGAAAGTATTTTTTCTTTTTTATAAATATTAATATTTGATTATTAAAACAAAAAAGAAGAAGAGGGTTGTTACTATACCTAGCAACTTCATCCCAAAGAGGGCCTTTCTGATTAGCTTCCTTAAACTTATGATCAAGGCGAGATCTGATCTCGAGAAGTGTTAATGTTTCTTGTCTCGGCCACCTCGCAGCACCACCATCGCCGCCATCGAATCCACCCAAATGATTAGCAGCAGCAGTAGCAGTGGTAGTAGTAGACTCGGAATTAAAGTGTCCGGGATGATGATGAGTATTATTATGGTGCAGCATGTCTGACATGCTTCGGCCCATCACCACCATCTCATACTGCTGATGCTGCTGCTGATGCTGAGCAGCAGTAATAGGGAGCGATAGACCCCGATGGTTGTGATGGGCCGAAAAGAGGTCGGAGGATGGAGGAAGCGATGGGGGTTGTTGTACTGGAAAAGGCGGGAATTGAGTGACCGTAGCTGCTCGGCTAATAAACTGGCGTAGATCTGATATACCATATTGGTCTTCCATTTCCATGGATCTTTGATTTTAGTTTGTTTTTATGAGAGAGAAAACAATAAAATTTTGAGAAATAATAAGCGAGAGTAGCGGATCATGTCCTTCACTTGAAGGGTTATGGACCCTTATGGTGGTGGTGGGACTTAAGAGAGAAAGGACGGTGGGACCCTTTTTTTAATATTTTTTTTCCCTTTAATTTGTTGGTTAATACTTCATTTTTTTATTTTATTTTATTTTATTTTTGTTAAGTTGATACAATACATATATTTAATCATACTAAGTATTTAACTATTTATCAACGAACAAATTTAACGACTAATCTAATTTTTAATAAGTAAAATTCTGCACAAATTATCTTGATAATTTTAATCGTCTCCATAAGTGAAAAATTACTCCGTATAATATATTTATGTTGATATTATTCGTGTCAATGTTTTATCTTACAAGTACTCCCTTTGTAATTTTTTTAAGTCAATGTTTTACAATGTAGAAACTTTGACCATTAATAACTTTAATTATCAATAAGGAGATATTATAACAACTTGAATATTAGAGTAATAATCTAATTGTTGAAAGGATTCCAACAAGTACCACGAAACTATATTTTTCTTATGTACGGAGTATAAATTACTAATAATATTAGTTAAAGACTCAAAGTGAATTAGGTGAAAAGTGTAAAAAGTAAAATGTTTCACTTAAAAAAAAAATAGATAGTGTTAAAAGTTAGAAGACGATTAAAACTAGATACCACTTAATTATGTTTTAACTTGCATATAATCCAAGTAGTGTAGGAACTGTAAATACATAGAAAAGTCGGTCAAAATAACATTTGTAAATACAAGTAGTGTTAAAAATTACCTAGCATTCGCTCCGTTTTGTAATAATTTAAACACTAGGGAAAGCACAAAGATTTAGGAGAATTATAAGGTGAGGATCAAAGGGAGAATTTTATAATATATAGTTAGTAGGGATATATTTAATAGTAAATAGAAAAGAAATAATAAAAAAAGCAGTGTAAAACCCTGTTCAGTTCACCTTAAAAAAATAAAATTCAGTAAAAATAATTTCAGTTCAGTAAAAATAATTTCAGTAAAGAAGAAATATAATAGAGAATCAATAAAAATAATTTCAATAGCAAAATTAATTTCTATTTAGTAAAAATAATTTCAGTTTAGTAAAAATAATTTAAGTTCAGCAAAAATAATTTCAGTTCAGTAAAATTAATTTCAATTTAACAAAAATAAGGTGAGGTGAATTGGGCCTAAGTGGGGTTGGTAGAAGACAGAAATAATACACCATAAAATATTAGTGAATTGTTATCAAAAAAAGAAGTGTTGAAATTATTATGAAACAGTAAAAAAAAAGTGTTACGTTATTATGAAACGGAAGGATTATAAAGGGTCAACTAAAACAATTCGGAGCAATTAACTACGAGTATTAAGGAGTTTTCATAATTATTGTGGTGTAGGAACTGTAGTTTAGAGGAGAGAGAAAACAAGGGGTGCAAAACATAGGAAAGGAAAATAGCGAATGAGAGGTCGACAGATGGCAAGAAATAAGACGAAGAAATGGAAATAGTGACTAAGTGAGGTGATGACGCGTGTACAGTGCTTAGGATCCTGTCTTTTTGACCCGTACTAGTATTTCTCTTTCTTGAGTCGCTTCACACTCCCACTGTCGCCCATATTTTAATGATGTTCTCTAAATTCGGCATTTTCCATCTTATATCCCAATTTAAACATGATCATCATCATCATCATGAAATTAATTTTTTCCCTTTTGTTTATTCCCTTTAATCACTAATATTCTTTTTGGTTTCTACAAAATTTTAGTCTTATTTGCTTTGTACTTATTACTTGCTATGCTCTTTATATTTTTGTTTTTTATTTTTCTTGCTTTAATTTATTCTTTTTAATATATCCAATTATATTGTATGGCCAACATCATTACATTTGTAAATGATACATCTAAACTAATTGTGGAAATACTTAAGACTATAGTTACTCCACCGGTCGATATTTACTCTACAGACAAGTTGATAGCAGAAGCTGCAAATAGAGGCGTTGAAAATACTTGAAATTCATTATTTGATTGTTGACTTGCACTCTCGATTATATATATATATATATATATATATATATATTTATATATATTTTGAGTGTATAAACCGTTTTTAAAAAAAAATGGTTTGGATATCCAACTTGGAAGAATATCTGAGTCATCAGGTCAAGCCATGGCCCTGTTTTACATAAATAATCGAATACTTGAAAAATTCTCGCTAATATAGGTTAATTTCTTCACTGGTGAACAACACGTTAGGATGTAGGTTACAAATTATTAAGTTCATTCACTAGAAGCCATACAAAGCCACAAATTAAACGAGAATCTTTGAATTCTCTCTCTTGCATTTCTCAAACTCGCAAACCAAAACTCACTAAACTCTCTGGCACGAATTTAGCAGCCGCACAAATCTCACTCTTACTTACTAACCAATTCCATTGCTCTCAACGACGGCTGATCCATACAAGTTTATCTACCCTATCTCCAAGGTTTTCTCTTTATTTTAAATTTTACACTATTTATATAATACCTTTGACCCCATGTAATTGCTTAATAATTTATAAAAAGTATTTTAACTACTGTTGTGTTAATATCAAATTATGTTTTCGGATTAAGATATAAATGTTATTGTTTGAATGTATTCGGTCAGGCTAGCAAACTAGGCCATTGATGATCGCCACTAATTTTAGGGTCAAAGTTCAACTAGGTTTCTACAAATAATTAGTGTAAAAACATATTATATATGTGAAGTGAAATTCACTCATAATTTGTGTTTCCAGCAAAACCATCTTGCACCGCCCCTATCATTCACAAGACTTGTCGCCTCACAATCGCGAGGTTACATTGTGGGTCTCCCACACAACACTGCCAAAGCCTTATACTCTTGCCATTAAGTCACACCACTCTGCACCCGCGTATTCGAGCACCAAATTAGCCATTGGGGTTTCGTGTTGCATGCGTTTGTCCCAGCCTAACCATCAGCTCTAATACCGCTTGCTGGGCCCAAGTCGCCACCTTGTTGGTGGCACGCACACCTTCACTTCACACTAGTATGATATTGTTCGTTTTGGGCTGAAACTACACATATTTGGTCGAGACTCCTTGCCGTAAGGCCTCTTACTAATGGAGTGCGCTTTCACTTATGAAAAAGTCATGTCTTATTCTTTCCACATGGGACTTAAATTGCCAACCTAACATTGTTGTTGGATAATTCAACAGTGTCCTAAATATCTAAGACACAATCTACCATCTCTTAGTCTTCAAGTGTAGCAAAGTATATAGCCACGACTATTGCAGCCTCTGAATTCAAATGGATTGTCATTTTTTACAAATCTAAATCTTGTGACTCTAAATTGTGGCAATCAAAGTGTTTTTTACATTGGCAAGAAAACATTGTTTCATGACAGAACAACTTGAATGGGATTGCCGCTTTAAATTACTAGGGAAAATTATTGGAAGGTTTATTTATAGCTTAGTTACATGCCTACCGCAGAGCAATGAGCCAATGTCGTAACAAAGCCTCTTTTTACCCGGCCCTCATTATTTTAAGCTCATTTCCAAGCTTTGGAACAATTGATCCTCAATTTTAAACTTCAAGGGTGGGATATTGGTGTACAATGTATCAATAAGGGTACTAGAGGAAGCTAAGCTCATAACCTCACAGCGATATACCAGCATCAACACATGCCAGCTGCAAGCATGCGACAAACTCTACACCACTAACACCGGTCATAACAAAATATACTTCCTCTATTCCTCTAATATTGCAACAATTATCATTTTAAGAAGTTTCACAAATATTGCAATATATATGGTATAATATTGCAATATTATACCATATATGCACATGCTTTCTCTTTATCTCTCTCTTCATCACATGGGTTCCTATCTTTATTTCTCTCTATCCCTCTCCTCATCTTAAATTCCATATCTTCTCCCCTTGTTGCAATATTAGGAGAACGAAGGAAGTATTAGTTAGTTCTTAGAACCACATTCTTGTTAGAGCCAACTAATCAGTTTTAGATGTAATGAAATGGATTATGTTATGACTAGAATACCTTGCCTATTAGTCTCATGTATATAAATGGAGCATGTATGATGTACTTTATTTCTAATCAATCAATAATTTATATCATTCAAAACAAATATGATCAGCCCGATATATATAGTGAAAAGGAGAGTACCTTAATGTTGAAGATTCAATTCTCACTAGTGACAATTTGGGGAAGGGGATTCCCTTACCTCTCCCAATCTCCAAAATTGTCTAGCTAGTTAACCTATGCTAAGGACTATGATGCACAGGGCCTTAGTTGGCCCCTACCTTGTTGATTTCCACAATCTCATAACCCTAACCCTTAATGAACTTCTCTGAATATGTATTGAGAATCTAATGAGCAACTTCGACATACATTCAACGCCTGGCCCGGTTTCCATTAAGCCTTCAAAACCTTACACTAAATGTCTATATTCTTAGAATGCCAATAATTGGAAATGTACTATACATCATATGAAAACTGGTAGTTGAGGTTCTAACATGATTATAAAACGATAGAATTCTAAGATTGAAAGTAAAAACAAAAATTTTATGCTTCTTCTTTGACACTGTGTATATATGACACATGACCAACGACCCATGTGATAATGAACCTACATGAAGTTATAAATTGGTAATCATGCGTAAGAGGCCCGGCTAAAGATTGACACAAAAGAAAAGGTACTAATAAACGTGTAGTGATACAATACTACGGCTTGTAAGTTGTAACTATATTTGATTAATGTATAATTAAGCCGATGTCAAAATAAAAAATGATGCTAGCGCTTAGACCTTGCCGGCCTCGTTCAAAGTCTCATTTAGCATGTACAGCTAGCTTGCTATTAACAACCGCAGCTGTTGTTGTACATTGTACACTTTTTGTCTTGTGATTGCCCCACAGTACATATAAGACTATGAGACATAAATTATGTATGGTTTCACGACTTTATGAGTTATAATGTGTGTGGAATTGCACTATGGTTTTTGTATTGGACTAGTTAACGACATAAAGCATGGCGCAACGTACATGAAGCTCACCAACTTGAAAAGTGCATATAAAGCTAACTTTTGGGTCCATAACTTGAACTAATTGCCGCCGAGCTCGATGAAGGTTTTTCATTTTTTTTTTTTTTTTTTTTTGTCTCGCTATTTGGTTTATTGTTTATGTTAAAATAACGTAACCTAATAAAACTATTATTTTTACCCCTATTTTTGTAAGGTTACTTGTAGTAGTTTGATGTTATAATTGACGATATACAATTTTGACACAACCATTAATATCTTTAATCATTCGTTAATACTCCGTAAAAATGACTTTTAAAAAAACCCCAACACTTATAGGGA